CTTCTGCAGTGTTTAATCTGTTCATCCTATTTGGTGTAATTTTTATCTCAGAAATTGTAGTTTTAATATTTAGAATATTTGATTTGTGTCTTTTAAATGTATTCCAGGGCTCTCCTTAACAATACTTATGCTTTTTTATACTTTCTTAAACTTATGGAATATATCTGTAATAGCTGTTTTAATGTCTTTTTGTACTAATGCTGTTACTTGTGTCATTTCTGAGTTATTTTCTATTGATTAAGTTTTTCTCCTTATTATGCATGTGTTTTCCTGCTTTTGGCATACCTGGTAATTTTTGACTGGATGCTAAACGTGTGGATTCTATGTTGTTGTGTGCTAGATTTCTAAAAATTTTTAATTCTACTCTAGGATACACTTAAGTTATTTGGAAACAATTTGATCCTTTCAAGCTCACTTGTAACCTCTATTGGGGGAGACCAGAACAACCTTTAGGACTAATTTGGTCCTGCTACTGAGGCAATATTATTCTGAGTACTCAAACCAATCTCCCATTTATTATGGGATTTCTTTACTCTGACTGTTGGGAACATGACCTATTTATTCTCAGCCTGTGTGTGTAGTGGGAATTCTTCAGCCTGCTTCTTTCCAGTGGTTCTTTCCTTGGCCTTGGAGAGTTTTCTCATGGACATGCACTGATCAGTTCTCAGTGAAGATTTGAGGGGAACCTTTTGCAGATCTCTGGAGCTCTCTTTGCAGCTCTCCCTCTCTGGTATTTTGCCCTGTGAATTTTAGCCACATTGGCCTTCTTGAATTATCAACTCTGTCTTTTGAACTCAGGGAGACTGGCATGCTCTGTTTGGGTTCCCCTTCCTGCTCTGCAGACTGGGGCAATTGTGAAGCTTACCTTTGTTTGTTTCCTTTCTCTTAGGGATTACTGGGCTGAACTGCCTGGTGTCCAGTGTCTGAAAACCATTGTTTTATTAATTCTGTCCAGTTTTTTAATTATGTAAGATAGAAGAGTAAATCTAGTCCCTGTTACTCCATCATAGTCTGAAACAGAAGTCCCTATAATTGTACTTTTAATTCTCTGTCCAAATAATTTTTGAAAGAATGTTCTTTTTTAATTTTCAGGTATTAATAGGGTATTTTTAAAGAACAGTTTTCTTATCTTCTGAAAAATTTAAAAATAACTTCTAGTTTTATTGTGTTATAGTTACAGAATGAAGTTTGTACTATTTCTCCTTTGAAAATTTACTGATGTCTTTGTGGTCTAATATAAGGTCACTTTTTGTGATTTCTTTGTATGCATCTTAAAAAATGGTATTTAGTAGGAATCAAATATAAACATACATTCATATGCAGACAATCTGTTTAATTATGTATTAAATGCCTTGTCTTTATTTTGTGCCTTAGACTCCATCACAGATTGATATGAAGTCTAATTTTAAAGTAACTTTTAAAAAATCAGCTTTGTAGTTATTCTAAGTGCTACCCTTACAAATTCTGAACTTCTTCAGTTATACCAGAACTCTTTGAGTATAATCTTAAGAAGATAGTAGGCTCTTAATACCCTTTAGGATTTGGGGATAATTTCCATTTATTGTTTCTTTAAAAATAGGAAATAAGATTCCAGATTTACAGAACTACTAATTTTTTTTTTTTTTTTTTTTTAATTTTGCATTACGCGGGCCTCTCACTGTTGTGGCCTCTCCCGTTACGGGCGTGCAGGCTCAGTGGCCATGGCTCACGGGCCTAGCTGCTCCACGGCATGTGGGATCTTCCCGGACCGGGGCACGAACCCACGTCCCCTGCATCGGCAGGCGGACTCTCAACCACTGCGCCACCAGGGAAGCCCCAGAACTACTAATTTGAAGTAACAAACAGCAGACTAATCTCTAGGCTTCTTTTATTTATTTATTTATTTATTTATTTATTTATTTATTTTTGGCTGTGTTGGGTCTTCATTGCTGCACATGGGCTGCTCTTTGTTGTGGTGCACAGGCTTCTTACTGTGGTGGCTTCTCTTGTTGCGGAGCATGGGCTCTAGGTGCATGGGCTTCAGTAGTTGCAGCATGCAGGCTGAGTAGTTGTGGCTCACGGGCTGTAGAGCACAGGCTCAGTAGTTGTGGCGCACGGGCTTAGTTGGTTCGCGGCATGCGGGATCTTCCTGGACGAAGGATCCAACCCGTGTCCCCTGCATTGGCAGGTGGATTCTCAACCACTGCACCACCAGGGAAGCCCTAGTCTTCTTGATGCCTAATTTTTAGGTGTTAAAATTTCCTTGTAACATATTTAAATTTCTAAACTGTAATTTAAATAAGCCAGATAAAGAAACATATATTTTAAAATAAGTATATATAAGAAATATATATTTAATATATATGATATATAGATTAAGTAATAAAGCCAAGATTTATTCACTTATTTTTCGTAAGGATGAACAACTAAGTACAAATAATTACCTTTCAATTTATTTAAGCTCATATTCTTAGAGATATTTTAGTTCTGCAGAGAGTAAGATTAAAGTAATAATAGGTCTAACAACTATTTCTGTCAGCTCTATAATTGGGAGATCTGTTAGAAGAGCACAAGACTTTTGAGTGGAAACATAGTGGGAGACTGAGAACCCAAAAGTCTTTGGCGCTAATGAACTGGAACAGAGGACTGCCCTGGTGGCTCAGTGGTTAAGAATCCACCTGCCGATGCAGGGGACACGGGTTCGATCTTTGGTCCAAGAAGATCCCACGTGCCACGGAGCAACTAAGCCCGTGCACCACAACTACTGAGCCTGCACTCTAGAGCCCATTGAGCCACAACTACTGAGCCTGCATGCCACAACTACTGAAGCCGCGCGCCTAGAGCTGGTGCAGCAGGAGAAGCTACAGCAATGAGAAGCCCACGCACCGCAGCGAAGAGTAGCCCGTGCTCGCCGCAACTAGAGAAAGCCCGCGCACAGCAACAAAGACCCAACAACAAAAATAAGTTAATTAATTAATTAAAAAAAAGAAAACCCCAAAGCAGGCTCTGACTAGCATCCTCACAGAGCTAGCATGTATTCCAAGCTTACCTTTTAACTTATGTTCTTTTTTTTTTTTTTTTTTTTAACATCTTTATTGGGGTATAATTGCTTTACAATGGTGTGTTAGTTTCTGCTTTATAACAGAGTGAGTCAGTTATACATATATATATGTTCCCATATCTCTTTTTGATGATAGCCATTTTGACTGGTGTGAGATGATATCTCATTGTAGTTTTGATTTGCATTTCTCTAATAATTAGTGATGTTGGACGTCTTTTCATGTGCCTCTTGGCCATCTGTATGTCTTTTTTTTTCTTAAATTCCATATATATGTGTTAGCATACGGTATTTGTCCTTCTCTTTCTGACTTACTTCACTCTGTATGACAGACTCTAGATCTATCCACCTCATTACAAATAGCTCAATTTCGTTTCTTTTTATGGCTGAGTAATATTCCATTGTATATATGTGCCACATCTTCTTTATCCATTCATCCGACGACGGGCACTTAGGTTGTTTCCATCTCCGGGCTATTGTAAATAGAGCTGCAATGAACATTTTGGTACATGACTCTTTCTGAATTCTGGTTTCCTCAGGGTATATACCTAGTAGTGGGATTGCTGGGTCATATGGTAGTTCTATTTGTAGTTTTTTAAGGAACCTCCATACTGTTCTCCATAGTGGCTGAACCAATTCACATTCCCACCAGCAGTGCAAGAGTGTTCCCTTTTCTCCACACCCTCTCCAGCATTTATTGTTTCTAGATTTTTTGATGATGGCCATTCTGACTGGTGTGAGATGATATCTCATTGTAGTTTTGATTTGCATTTCTCTAATGATTAATGATGTTGAGCATTCTTTCATGTGTTTGTTGGCAGTCTGTATATCTTCTTTGGAGAAATGTCTATTTAGGTCTTCTGCCCATTTTTGGATTGGGTTGTTTATTTTTTTGTTATTGAGCTGCATGAGCTGCCTGTAAATTTTAGAGATTAATCCTTTGTCAGTTGATTCATTTGCAAATATTTTCTCCCATTCTGAGGGCTGTCTTTTGGTCTTGTTTATGGTTTCCTTTGCTGTGCAAAAGCTTTGAAGTTTCATTAGGTCCCATTTGTTTATTTTTGTTTTTATTTCCATTTCTCTAGGAGGTGGGTATAATTTCATTTTTATAACTAAATTGATTCTAAGTTTCAAAATATCCGTATTTTTTAATAAATTAAGTTTTCACAAAATTACACTGAAATTAAATTATGAATACTCATTCTAACACCTCCCTTGCTTTTTAGAATATTCTGATCCGAAGTCAGAGGCGTTATCCATTGTGCCAATGCCCCACCGCCCCCCTCCACCCGCCGCCTCCCTTGCTTTCTAAAATCTCAAGATTAAATTAATAATACTTGTGTATTTACTTGCTACACTTTCTTATTATGATTGAGAATAGCATCTTCCCTGGGGAACTAACATATTAGCAAATGAATCTGTTATTATCACTATCAACATGCCTTTGTTATTTAAAGTTTTAAACAAGATGGTCAGGCCAATTTAATTTGTTGACAAAACCATGCATGAACAAGTATAGGACTTAAAAGGAAAAAATGTGATGAGAAAAAAATTTTGTTTATACCTAGACTCTTTTTTTTTTCCTTTGGCCAAGAATTAAATTTGCCTCAACTTAATTGCTCTACACACATTCTTGTGACATTGCATGATTGGGAAGGAGGAAGAAAAAGAGGGAGCTGTGACCGTGTGGTATGTATCTAAAAGAGTGCATTAGAGGAGGAGAGGAGAACGCATAAGCAAGCTGGTTTGGCCAGAAACAGAACTGCCTGTGACAGATTAAGAGACAAGCAAGGCTTGGAATCTGAGAGCAAGCAAAGAGAGTGGAAATTTACAGCTGCCCTGTGTGAGTGTTCAGTGATCATTTTCTGCTAACTTTTTCCGGTGGTAACTTACTCTTCAAAGAGGGAGACAGAAAGTCAAGACAGGATTGTGGAAACTCTTCTCTGCCACGCTTTGGTAATAGGAGGCACCCTCTATTAAATGGAAGATAAAGGCTACTTCATCTAAAGTGCTTTGAGCCCCAGAGAGAGCTGTCTTCAGCACCTCACCACGTGTCTACTTTTCGTTGCTTAGGCGAGCCTGGGCTTTTCTGTAACATTTGGTAAGTATCAACCAGGTTACCTATAATGGTTCACAGAGATGGAATTAGTATGATAACCTTTAGTTTAGTTATATTTTCATTTTAAACTGTGCTGTTACCTTGTTTCTTTGTGCATGATAAACTGCTGTTACTAGGAGAGGTTTTAAAAAACAACTACAAAACAATACTTCTCTGTTGCCTAAGGCACTTGAATCATTACCAACTATTCCGTGTCCATGGAATGTCTTATTTTGGAAATGGGTTTTTATTTACAAAGAGTTTCCAAAAATAAAATAGTGGCAGGATACCATTTTTCATGTTTCTCTTTCAACTGAATAAAAATTCAAAAGTTACCTTGTTCCGTCTATTTTCAGTAAATTTAAAATAATCATTGTGATATTTGATATTATCAATATTATAAATTACAGCATTCCCTCATAATTCAGTTAGAAATGTTAATGATGCCATTAAATAAAGGGATATGTAATTTGAATGTTGAATGCTTCTGTTAGATCCAATAAGAGACACATGATTTTTTTCAAAGTTCTGGAGTGAAAATAAAAATTAGACAATTTACATATCAAACTTACCATTTGATACAAAATAAATACACGTTTGAAATTAAGGAATAAGGCAGTTATTTTGTCCTTATAGCTGGCACCAAACTCTTATATAATACTGTTGTTCTGCTGAAGAACTATTTTAACCAGATGCATATATGTATGTAAACAATAGAGAAGAGAAAAAAGAAAAAACTCTTAAAATATATATTCACATTCCAATAAAAGCTTCATTTGTACAGTCTTAACTTGGGAGATTGTATGCTAATTTTATATATGTTTTTTTAAAGGCATCGATGGAAGGCATGTAATCATTCTGTGTAAGAAGGAAGTGTATATTGTTAGCTGCAAACGTGAGTCATTGCTTAAAGATGCATCATTCTAAGCAATGTTTCTAGTTTGCCAGCCTCACAAAAGATGTCCTTAGTTATTGATTCAAGTGAGTCCTTTAAGGCAGAACAACTTAGCAGAAATGAAAACTTAAGCAAGGTGTCAATGAACCTATTAAAAGGGTTTGTACTCTAGATATAATGTAAAACTACTGTACTTTCTCTAATATTTCCTGTATGTGTGCAGAAGCCTGTAGAACAGGTTTTGTTTTGTGGAGTTTTTTTAACCTATTGACCAGTGTATAAAAAGAAACTCAGCTTGTCGGTGAAAACCTTTTCAGGACTAGTATCTTATACTTGAAGTCAAAAGTAAATACAATAGAGATTATATCACAAACCAAATTTTACTTCTTTACAGAATTTCCCACACTCAGTCGTTAGACTGATGGAAGATTTGCACATAGCTTCACAATCTTCCGAATAATTTTTTATTTTAAACTAGTAATTCATTGATATTATCTTAGTAGTGGCACCATTTCTTAAGCCTATAGGATTGTAAATATAGAAATAAAAATTAAGCCATCCCCAATTTCCAAGTGTTTTGTACCTTAGAAGTTTATTTGTGAGTGGGTTGTTGGGAATTTGGGAGCCATCTTCTCTGGGAAACAATTTAACAAATAATGATTGCTTGGTGTTTATTATAGCCTAAGTTTATATTTCACTTACACAATAGAAAAACCATCACCACCCTGAAAAATATTAGAAAATCAATTACAGTGATGAAACTAAATATAAAAACAATAACAGGTTGAATAAGACATTATTTTTCCTAAATATTAATACTTGAAGAAAAGCAGTATGTTTATAAACAGCATTTCTAGGTACTTTTATGAGCTTCCAAGATTAATTGCACTGTTTATGAGATCCAATCTTTTATTAAAATCAGTGATTTTTCTTTTCCTTGCTACAGGAATATTTCTAGCCATTACTTTTATGCTTATCAGCCATTTCTGAGATCTAGCCCAGTGTCTGGCATATAAGTAGGTACCTAATAAATAGTTACCAGATAGGGACTGAACTCTTTCTTTGGTTTACAAAAATGGAACTGAGTAGTTTTTCCAAGGTACCCCAAAAAGGAAAGGGGTTTAGGGGCACACAGTTTTCATTATGAGAAAGAGAGGGCCTGTCAAGAATTGAATTTTAAGAAGCAAACAAAGTACAGAATAGGCCTAACTGTTAAGAGAAAAAGAGAAGACTGTGGTGTAACTTGGGGGTAATCCTGAATGAGTAGGGATGGTGATGAGGGGAGGCAATTTACAAACTTGGTATCTTGAGTACATGGGACATTCTGAAGTAAGGTGTCAACTTTAACTCAGAAGAATTATGTATTTGCATATGTGTACTAGGACCCATATGAAGAAATGTGGCCTATTCGGAAAACTCAGTTTAGGTCTATCCAAATTAAGTTTAGTTACGCTGGCCCTAAAAGTTTCTCTACTATAATGGATAATAATCTGGAAAAAATATCTATATAGATATAACTGAATCACTTTGCTGTATACCTGAAACCAACACAATATTGTAAATCAACTATACTTCAATTTTTTTAAAAAAGTTTCTCTAAAAGACCAAGATATAAAATGTTAAAGTTAGTACTGCAGTAAACATATGTAATGAAATAAACGATACAATGAATGCAGATTATACTTAGATGATTTTTAGTGGCAGAAAAACCTTTCCATCTGATCAAAAAATACTTTCTATGTTCTATTTCAAATCATATTTTAAAAGTAATGATTTTGAGTAGTCCCAAGTGGCATATAATAGGTGCTTAATAAATATTTGTTGCATGATTGAATGAAATAATGTGGAATAGTTTGGACAATTTTCCATTTCTGAGGTATGGATGTCTGTGTACATGCATGTATAGATTTATAATGCAGCTTAAAGATAATATTTAGCTGAGATTCCCTTAACAAGGAAAAAATCTATGTTAGCATGCTTTTAAATTATGGACATACTTAGTGTTCCACTGGTAATTAAAATAGTTGGTTTAAGATGAAATCTTTACTGCTTCTAAATGAAATAATAAATATTTAATTTTATGACTTATATGTCTTCAATTTCCAGCAGAAACTCATCTAGTCTCTTCCAGCTGTGGAAGGATGAGAGGTAATATTAATTTACCCATCCAGAAGAACTTTACAGTCCTGGAAGTCTATAGGATGAGAGATAACTTCAGCTAAATCACATGCATCTTTACTCTCCCATGTTATTATTTTATAGATTGAGAGTTCATAGATAGGCACAGGGCTTACTGAAGCTATGAAATGGTTGTATTTCACACTGTAACTATAAATTTTGCCTTAATACCAGTAACAGTATCTAACCAAAATTTGATGATTATTTTGTATATGTATGTGCTTAAAAGAAAGACACCCCCCCCAAAAAAAAAGAATTACAAGTTTCCCTTGATAATTCTGTTGTGAAAAATAGCCATTTGTGAATTTCAGTGAGAACTGATGCTTTGATTACACTTCCTAGTCTTTGAGAATACTGACCTAGCTTCAGATCTCTGCTATAAATTGAGATTATGAAATTCAAATGTAAAATTATTATCCATTGACAATCTTTATTAGCTAATAGATGTAGAAAATTTTAACTCCAACAAATGACTGGAGCTGTCAACAGAAACATTACTGTGAATGAAGTTTCTGGTTGTTTTTCCTGGAACAGTAGTCTAGTAGGTTAATATTTATAATAATAAATTGGTAGTTGTATGTCTTCCTAATTTCATAAACTAGTTCTATTTTTAAATTGTTTCAGTGGTTACAATACATTAGAATTAAGGAACAATTCCCAAGGACATGGGTTTTTTTCTTGTAAAAGAGTTTTTATTCTGATGTAAGTCTGATCAAGGCTTCCAAATGAGTAAGGGTACATAAAACACTTCTTACAAGTTTTTCATTTCTATGTAAATTGTTCATTTTTGAAAATGGTGCTCCCTCAAACTGTTAACAAAACTTATAAAAACAGGTTCATTCTTAGTCATTTTGAACTGAGAAAAAGGATGATCAGTGAAAGTTCTTATTTATACTTTGTCCACTGATTTTTCACTCGTTTCTATAGGTCTTCAAGTACAAAATGCAATTGTGGTGTCTTCTAATTACATCTAGGAAGTATATTTTAAAATGGAATGGTTGAGGGATAGCGGGCATTGATTGGAAGGTACTTTGACATATGTAATATGTTCTATAATGGATTTGATATCATAACATATATAACAATAATGATATGCTTTGTAGTTTATTATATCTGTGAAGGTAATCAATGATTTTGTGGTGGGAAGAGGCCTATTTGGGATGCAACACATACAGTAGAACTTTTAGGTGTACTTTTTTTTATTTAAAAATTTACATTCAATGAAATGTACCCATTTTAAGAGAACAGTTCACTGAATATTGACAAATATGTATACTCATGTAATCTCCATCCCATTGATTTTTTAAAATGAATCTTATTGGCCCAATTATTTGCCGTAGGTGTACTTTTTGATTGCATTATTTCTATCTGTGAGTCCTATTTGGAATAAAAGATAAAAAAATGGTAATTTCTGAACTTTCTTGAAATTTATTTTAATGTGGTGGTTTAATTTTCTTAGTTTGAGAGAAGGTACCTGTGACTAAGTTTAAATTAGCAAGCTCTATGAAAGGCTTTTGGAAATCTTCCTTTCCTACTTATTGTTCATTGTTAAATAACCTTTATGAAGGAAAACAAGGCTCATTTTTGACTTGACTTTCTTACAATGAGTTAGCAGTTTGGTTATGTTTTTACCTATGGAAATCTTGAGACTTCTCTTGTCTTCAATGATAAATTTCCCACTCCGTTAAGCTTTCGTGGAAAATCTTTTAAATGAAAACTATTATTGAACAGCACATTTGGAGGTTAGACATAAAGGCCTAGAGATACTCATTAGCCACCTACAGATAGACATTTATTCCCCTTTAAAATACTTTAAGAGATAACAGTGAGGGTATTTAATGCCCCAAATGACCTCTGCTCCTAGCTTCCCTTTCCCTGTCCCCCTTCAAACACGCTCTTCTCCACTTACATCACTGAACATGTTCAGATG